GCAGACCACAACGACCATGGGGTTGCTTCAAAGTCCACTCTGCTATCAGAGAAGTACCAGGAGCAACCCGCATGATACACCGCCCTCCGAAGAGGGCCACCTCCCACCGCTCACCGAAGTGGGCCACCTCCCTGTGCGTTTCTTGGCTTCGCGCCCGGCAGTACTGCCAGGCACTACTGAGCCCCCCCCCCCCCCACCACGACAAGATGAACGCACGTTGCGGGGGGATGCTAAACATACTTCAACATATACGTATTGTAAAACTATCCATTAAATAATAATATAAGCTTATTTAGTACTTTACCTACTTAATATGTATATTTACACATTTATGTACAAGGCGATTAAAATACGCCTCTTAGTGAAGGATTGAAAAAAATTAAAGTTGTAGAGACGTGAGTATTCCAACTACGGGAAAAATAAATAAAAATATTGTGTGTTTTATTGCAAATTCAAACAAAAATATAAAAGCGGCAGAAGTTATACGAAAAATTTAAACTTTTCAAATCTAAAATAGAAATAGGTCAAAAGTCAACATAAAACCAACCTGCAAATAAGGACCTATGGCAAACTAAGCTTTACATATTATGTATAATTTGTAGTACAGTTCTACTTTCTTCTGGAACGTCTTTCTTTTAAGTTTATTTTCTTAGTAAATGATTAAATTGACTTCATATTTAACTATAATTAATAAGTAAAAACGAAAATCTTCTAAAATGTGTCCAATACTTTTATTAACTTTCAACTGCCAAAATATTGTATTAATATTTAAAGATTGGAATATAGTTTTCATTTTAGAAATAGACTATATGTATATGAATATGTACAGTCTCGATTTCTCACTTTCTTTGGCCATGTAACAAGACGTGATGACGTTTCGATTGAACGTTTAGTGGTGCAAGGAAGAGTAGAAGGCACTAAAGCACGTGGAAGATTGCCCATGACGTGAACAGGCCAAGTGAGGGTTGCGGAGGATGTTCCCTTACAAAAGTCTATAAGAAAAGCAGCTATTGTAGAGGAGTGGCGACGAATAATCAAGCGTGCCACAACACTCAAGTGACAACCACGACCACTCGTCAGAGTTAAGAGTGTAACGACTGAGTAGATATATGGATAAGATAAGGAATAACTAATTGCATGCGGAGGACAAGCCTACAATAATAATAAACATGTTTAAACAAGGGATTTTGAAGTTAAACTTCTTTAGAATCGATGTGATTTGAAACTCGATGAAACGAAAATGCGACACTAGAAATAGACAAACACATATATATATAGGATTAAACCGGCGAGAGAATGAGATAGAATGCATTACACAGGAAGTTAAATACTGAATAATATTTTATGTAATATAATATGTTAAATAAAATGTAAAATAACTTTTAAACTAGGTAAAAAAAACTAAACTCTAGAATTATCCTACTCCTGATACTCTATATATGTTCATCTCATTCTCTCGTAGGTGAATTTTCTGAAGTTTCACTTCTACCGTGAGTGAATTGCATACAAACTCACTTTTTTTACAAGTATGGATACCGTTGCTTTTTTACTGTTTACGTTTACTATTTGTTAGGGTTTAATAACAAAATCTGGAAAAAATCCAATCGTCTATCTGTTACGATTCAAAAGATGAATGATTCCATTCAAACGAAGAGAAAAAGTGGAAAAGGATGGATGGACGGATAACATTCAATAGGGGCCTAATATAAACTTTCGGATACGAATTCGTAGAAATAGTCAAATTCGTTTCAATTTGTTAGATTACATTATTAATTACATTTAGTCATGGTAGAGTTTTTATATTTGAGCTAGATTATCATAGTATAAGATTCGAAGTACGATCCTCACCCATCTTACCAGAAGAACAGTATGTTATATTTTATATTAAACACAATACATAAACAAATATATGGCAAAGCTAACTGGAATTAGGTAACCCCTAATAAAATGAGATCAAGGGATCTGTTTACTGAAAATAATGTAATCATTTTTCGAATGAAGTATCTTATTGCATGTTACTCTGTATATTTGGTGAATGTGAGCTAGACGGAAAAGAGTTTTATCTTTATGACAATTTTGACCGATTTCCAAAAAAGAGGAGTTTTTATTCACTAAGAACATCCCATGTGATGTCATTATAAGTATCAGGTGATCATAAGTGTTAAGAAATGTAATATACTCGTGTGCACTCTGTGCAGGCCTTACGTCTATGAGCTTCAACATACATATATGAAATATGTTGCTTGACATTTATAATACAATACAATTATTTAAGATTTAATTTGTGAGTCAAGAGCAGACGATGAAAGAAACTTCATTCCTACCGGATGTCCCACGACACCGATCGACTTTTTGTTCTTATATTTCGTTTGATTGCTTATAATATCTCCTGTATTTTCGTTTAATTGCTTTTAATATCAAATAATACGTACATTTCAACACTATCGCACATCTCATCTTGCTCCAATTTTTAAAATCTGGAAACCATAATTCATGACCGTTTTTTCTCTACCTAACTTATGCATACTCCCCGTTCTTGGAACTAAATTCCAATAAATATCTTTATGTGAAAGATGAAATATTAAGTAAATAGATTTGTATAAATATATTTTTAATATTTGTTTTTTGAATTTTCTTTATTTCATAAGGCGATTGCAATAACTTTTATAACAATATACCTATTTGATTCAAAATTAATATTTTTCATCCAATTTACAAATGGACGAAAAACAACCTTAATGCAGACCCTTTAATAATAAACAAAAATGAACAATGTATAGTAGGTATTACACAATTTAGTTCTTTTCCTAAAGAAATGTAAAAAATTCTACTTTTAAGCGTCTTCCTTAGCGCACAAACGCGATCGAAATCATTTGACTTCCGCACCGTAATGAGGTTTGTACTCATTGCACACGACAAAGCGTTTTTTTCACCTCACACAAGTATCCGTAATGAAAGTTCTATTTTACCTTTAAATTATTTTTAATGTTCACGGTACTTTGGTCATGTTTTTTAATGAAGGGACGCCAATCTTCTAATGACTTTTCGACCGACTTCAAAAAGGAAATGTTACTGTATCCAAGTATATGTTTTTTGTATATCTTATCCGATTTTTTCTTTATCACCCCGAGCGATAGCTGCGCCAATTTAAACTAGTAGCTCATTTTCTGTTTTTTTTTTAATTAATATATGATAACCATACCCACAACCACAAAAAAACTCTTTTAACGGAAGAATTATTCTAAATTTTAAAATAAAGTCGGTCTACCTTTTTCAAGTAAAAAATTGAGTGAAATAATATAATTTAGCCAACAATCACTCTATTACATATCATTTACCTAGTAGCGTACAGAATAGACTGCTAAAGTTGTAACTCTTGTCAACTTTTTTTTAATTTGGGAAATGCATTTACGCATACTACCTGTACACATACAGGTGGTGGTCCCATATGGGACTCACTGACTAGAAAAGCTAGTACTACCCACCAGTGGCACCGGTAGTGGTAGGTAGTGACACCAGTACCAGGAGCAACCGTACACCGCCCACCAAAGCGGTCCACCTCCCTGTGTGTCTTTTGGCTTCGCACTCGACTAGATTGCCAGACGCTAATGAGTCCCCCCAGCAAGACAAGGTAAACACACATGGAGGAAGAGGGAAGAGGGAGTGGTGTCTGTCAGAACATATCACAAGACCATTAAATAAATGAACAGATAAACAAAAATGTCAAAACAGAAGATTTGCCCTTCCATTGTATTCGGTACACTTTTTTAGAATAATCAATATAAAAAGAACAGATTCTGAATGACACCCTTCATATGGTCAATCACGAAATACTCAATCACATCATTAAATAATCTTTTTTGTATGTTATACTTTTCTTTAAGGGAGATGGAAGACTTATTTTTCGGCTTGAGCGCAACTTTAATTTTCCCGCTTGATTTCATATCTATTACGCATAGTTCCGTTTTGATCCTATCGTAATTGCCTATTTCTTTTTTATATTTATTTCTTTTTCCTTGCCCTCTTGATGACAGCCATTTATTTTCCTTATATAAATTGTATTTATAATGTTTTATTCAATTGTAATCTTCAGTTAATAATAAACAACACAAAACAACTAACTGTAATAATTATGATTTATTGCACTATCGTTTTTTAGGATTGCAAACATCGGGATACATTCATGGCCACTTAAAATATAACTTCAAATTCATATTAAAAATCATTTTTAGTCAAAAATCAGACAATAAAGTTAAAGTTTCATAACTCAATTTTATCGTTCTATTTGAAGCTGGAAATGAAACTCTACTTCAAACCTAATTAAACGATCAATTTCAATCATCAAAAGGAATAATTCTCAAAGCCAAGTTTAAGTATAACTCTCATATTCCATAAATTATTTACAACTTCCTCCACACGAGGAGCTTATTAGTTGTTCTTGTTTCTTTTTATTGATATCTTCTTTGATCTGTATTTTAACAGTATTATGTGCTTTCAAACGAAGTACTGACTGAACATACGTGTATATCATAAATTATATTTTATAAAGAAGTATTATACAATGGTGATGATTTGTTAAAGAATAATATTATTAAAATGGCGGTAATGCTAAGTATGAAATAAAAGGAAACAAATAAAAACTGCAATTGTGTGAGTCAAAATAGTTCAATTCGTTTTCTTTTATACTAAATTAGATTATATATAATACGTGTATATAGTATATGCATAATATGTAATGTGTTTGAAGTGGTAATCGGAAATCCAACTGAATTATTCCTTAAAATTACGTTGTTTAAAATTTACCTCACAAATTTAATATTTATTTTCTTTGTTTCAGATTAATTGTCACATGCTGTGATCATGGAATTTGCTTGCCTCTCTATGAGCAATCTGTGCACGCACTGTTTACCGATCCAAAGTGACACTTATCTGTACAGTTGAAGTTCTGAAGATGGTGAAATAGTGTAGTGTGTGATAAAATGAGCTTATAAGTTAAGTGAATGTCGGGAGAACGGGAGATGCCTTACTATGGGTACCGCGAGGGGGGGTCGGACTCGAGTGGGGGTTGTTCGGATTCAGACGGAGGAGAATCGGACTCAGAGGGTGGGTTAAGCACTGAGAGTACGGGGGGTCATGGCCTACCGTACCCTGGCTTTACTCCTGTAGCCCTTATATATTTAACACAGGACACGCGCCCTAGGAGTTGGTGCCTCAAACTCATCACGAATCCATATCCTTTTCAATATATTAAGTTTAATAATAAATAAGCTCTTATATAATTTATATGTGTATATAATTCATTTAAATATCATAATATTTGATAAATGAGGAATGTTTGAAGAGCTTTGAATTCGAAACTTCAACCACATCGACCTATGGAATTCCCTTTAAATAAATTATAATATTTGTTTTGAAGCTTATAGCGAGAGTTATGGAGGTCGATAGTTACATAACGTTAATAATACAACGTTAACTTTATTGCGTAGGAAGTAGACAAATTGATATTTAAATCAATTACGTTGTACAATTATTTTTATGAACGCATTACTTTCTCATATAATTACATATTATATTAAAAATGGATAATTTTCAATGACAAAATCGTCTTTTTATTGGTGTATTGTGTACTATACATATGTATATAATACATACCATTATTTCGCACCAATTAATTTCTTCTATTTTTTGAAGTTATACTTCTTTTGGCACGTTTGGAAAAAAATATAAGAGTAAAATTTATACAATGCGCGCGCACACTGACAGCCAAAAAGCGACATGATGAAGTTAGCTGCATTCCTTTTACTAACAGAGAGTTGTGATATACGGGATGAAATTTTTAGCTGTTTTTGTTCTGTTACACCAAAGAGGTATAATTTCTTACGTGCGTACATAAGTACAGACACACACACACACACACACATTTTTATTACTATTTTTAATTCAAGTAAAATTAAGTACAATTTTAAATATCCTTTGCTCTATAATATAATGATTAGTATCTATGTATGTACATGGACCAATTTTCGATATGTTTAACGTGTGAAACCTTACTCGGTTCTAAATATCAATTAATACCATGAATAAATAACAGCAACATTAAACCGTTGACTCTATCGGTCAGGCATTAATTGCTCAATCGGCTCCACACGTTAATATGTAATCAAAGGGCTAGGAATAATTCACGGATTTCTCTTTACCGAGTTGATCAAAGCAAAGGAACAGTGACAGCCTAAATCTAGAGAGTTTTGTATATTACACTAGCTTTCACTCGCGGTTTTACTTACTTCTTACGTTGGTAAAAATAGCTTTTATCGCCTAGGCACAGTGTGACTATAGAATTCCATATATGAAATAGTTTTAATACAAATTGGCATATACATTGTACATAGAACCGTTCACATGTCTTTTATACCGTAGAAATCTTTAATGCTAAATACGTTTAACGGATACGCTCCGGACTTCTCAAGCAAATTGAAAATCTTTAACTTCTACTTAACATATAACGTTAATATCCATTGATCGTAGTTTGTAGCACTACTGTCTTTGGGTCCGATATACGCGGATGTGATCAAGGTTGCACGGAATTCTGTAGAAGTAAATATTACGAAACCGGCAACAAAATCTTGTTATACTTTTATACGTAGCTTTCATCTCTTAGCTTTTAAAAAACCTTTTAAAATTTTTACAAGCTTCCAGTTTAGCTCATACCAATTTTCAACAGTCTATCTAAGTATCAAAAACCATCTAGCAATCAAGCAGTCAAAAAAAAAATTTTGCTTCAATGTTCTTCTTCTATTACTGTTAATATTCTAAAACTATATGTTTTTATTTAATATTGATCACATATTCAGTTTCTCTTCTACTTTGTTATGTGAAGGGTGGAAAAAGGGCAAGTTCAGAATCACAAATTACTTTTTGCGGGTTGGTATCAATGTTGTTATTACAGTTCTATAACCCATGAGTTAAGCTCGTGCTCGTGACTCCATAAACAATATCTTAATCAACATTGCTTATATTGTTTTCCTTGAAACTATATAATCAACGGACTACTTCAAACAAAAAACTTACAGAAACACAGAACAAAATTGCTAACGTAGATTACTATGAAGCTAACTATCGTATAAATTATAAAAGACGAGTCTGGTTTGTTTCATTCCACAAACGTGTGTACAATACCAGCATATTTTATACGACGAAAGAAGTAAGATTGGAGCGATATATAAAATGTAAAATTTAATAGATTTCTTCATTAACTTGAAATATTCAGTGTCATAAAACGAATTTAATGATTTTCTGTTTACGTTTATTATTATTTTTTTAACAAGAATTTAATTTATAAATCCATCAACCCACATTTGGTTAGCGTGGTGGACTATAGCCTGATCCCCCTTGTATTAAAGGGAGACCTGTGCCCAGCTGTTTCGACTTTAAATAAAAGGGCTGAATGCAAGAATTTAATCATGTGTCTATCATTAGTTATCACCTCGCGGTTACATTCTAAGAAATTAATTGTTAACCTTTAACGGGATAACCTTTAGCGTGATATTTTCTTTTGTGGCTTATTGAAGAGTTTTTTTAATGCCTACTAGCTTTCAGCAGCCCGTATTTATATTTCAACTAGCGAATGACCCTCGCTCTACTCGGGTTTGTCCCTAGATACGTTTTTTCTCAGAGATTTCTCAGAGGTGAGGTATTTTCCCTCAGTTAAAAGTATCCTATATGTTGACCCGGATAACCAGCTATCATTACACCAAATTTCATTAAAGTCTGTCCAGTGGGTTTGTCATGGTACGCTACCACACAGACAGACAAAAATTCAAAAAATATAGATTCGGGCTCTGTATCTTAATTGTACAGTTTCAACTTAGAATTTTGTTATAGGTATGTTTAGATAGATTAAGCTTACGAGTATAATCACTATGTTCTTAACTTTCATGAAACGGACACCTCGGTATAATTTTAGATCTTGACTAATCATAATAAAAATAAGCTTTGTTTCAATCCATTGGTACCAAAAAAAACCATTTCATTGAAATGCATCCAGCTAGACAGATTGACAGATTCGAATTCTAAAAACAGTTCATTTAACTTTAATTATATTTCTAACAACTGAATAGAAGTTTTCTAAAAAAAATTCAATATACAAATAAAAATCATGAGTTTTATTATATTATTATATTTACTTATTAGATATTCGAATACATACAAAGTATCTTGCAGATTATAACATTACTAGCGACTCACTCTCGCTTCGCTCGGGTTCGCCCTTAGGTTGCTTCCCCATACTAACTTTTACCACATTTTCACCACTCTTCGAATAGACACTCGTATATAGCTTGAAGCCTCAAGAATAACAGTGAAGATTGATAAAAACAATGGCGTACCTAAGTATAGATGAAAATTGTTCTACAATTGAAAATATTCATTTCAAAAACTGTATCGGCTAACAAAACCGCGAATTTTGCTCCCATACGCTCGACCACACTACGCTAGTATACGAGTATACGAGAACAATTAGCAAGACAATGGCTAGTAAGATCGTTCTTACGGTTACAACAATGCGAGTACAATTTTTCGTAGCTTCGTTACGGTGTTGTTGAAAAAATATGACCTAAATTCGCACATTTGTATAGGACTTGTACAAAAAGATTTTAATTATACATGAATATAGCGAACATAAGAGACTTTTATATTTTTATATAAAAGATAATTTTTTGGAGTTTTCATTTTTGTAACTTAACGTACGTTGTAGGTATAGGAAATACGAGTACTATCATACATATGGTACTAGATATCCCGATGGAAATCCCCATTGGTTTGTCAAATAGACACACAGATAGTGTCTTTAATTTTGTTTTGACTTGTTATTTATATACTTGTGCGTACAAGTGACTATTTTGGAACAACAGAAAAACACTTTAAATTTATTTACAACTAGCGACTCACCCTCGATCCGCTCGGGTTCGTCTCTACTTACGTTTTGACGTTTAGTATTATAGATTTCTCAGAGATGAGACATTTTTATTATATGACAATCTATATACATATAATAAAATGGTAACTAAGCCGAATCTGTACATAAAATATTTTTTGGAGAATCTTACTGAAATAAACATTATTATCGATACAGAGGCCGAATCTACAGTTTTTAAAAAAATTGTCTGTCTGTCTGTTACCGAATCACAGAAAAACCACTGGAGGGATTTTGATGAAATTTGGTATGGTGATAGCTGGTTATCCGGGTCAACATTATAGGATAATTTTTACCACGAGAAAATATCTCATTTCTGAGAAAAAATACAAAAACTGCAATGTAAGAGTATACTAATATGTAAAACCTAAAAATTTGGTTTTTGTTCATCTGAACGCGGGCGGAGCCGCGGGCTATGCTAGTTTTATTATACGTAGGTATAGATAGATAAATAAATGTAATGTATAAATTAGCTTACAACTCTGAAATCAAATTACCTCACTTACTTATAAACTATATAGTTTAAGCAATTTTTACGTTTATAGGTTTTATATTATGTAGTTATTTAATTTATTTCGCAAAAAATTTTTAATAATTTAAATACAAAAATATATAAGGTTTATACAAAGTATTGTTTAATACTAAAAATAATAATCTTACGCAATTTATTCGTCGTTAAAATTGAAAAGGACATTTCGCTTAATGAACTTATTAGAATTTTTTTTTCTAAGCTTCCTAAAATAATATTTATTCATCTAAAAGTATTTAAAAGTATTTTCATTTGAGTACAAAACAAAGAAAATTTTGAATATAGACTTAAAAAATGGACTTCAAATAAATATGGCCTGTATTTTTTTATGAAATATACCAACGAAACTTTTTTATTTATATGAATACTTCAACAATTAGACATAGCTAATGGCAACAGTTTTATCATCAAGCTATAATTGCTCCACAGAGACATAAAAATTAGGGCTTTTACACGTAATGGTTTGAAATAAAATTACGTATTATTGTTTCCATAAAAAAATATTATTTAATATTGTTAAAAGCTATTAACATTTTTTTAAAATAGTAATGTTCTATTTACGAAGTAATATATGCATTCTGCTTATATGTGATTATATTTACTTCTTTCTTGCGGTTCAATGTTGAAAATTGACCATGACACTCTCAGAGGTGCAATATCTGGGGTTGGAACCTGTATCACTTGGTTTTGTCACCACGCAAGAACGTTGATAATGCCGCAACCACTGTTT